CACAACATTCACCTTCCCTACTGGCGGATGATCTCAATAACTACGGACCAACAACAATGGTAAGAATACAATACCGGAGGACAGTGACGAAAAGCACTACTACTACAGGTACAGCATCCCAAGGCAACTAATCTACATCTTCTCGTGGCAATGGCTGAGTGAGAGGAATCAAGGGCTCGACTTCTGACACTTACGAGGGTGGAGGTGCTGGCGGTGCTGCAATACCAGTTCTTCTTCTTTCTGGCTGGTGGATAGGGATCCCTTCTAAGATCGAGGCATCCTGCCTTTCAGCAGCCAGCGTCCTCCGCTTGGCCCTGGTGACAATATAGGCCACACGCAGCTGATGAACATGCCAGTCTTCAGCCTCCTTCAGAGCCTCTGACATGGCAGTCTCTCGGCTCTCAGCAGTTGCAGCACTGGCATGCGCTTCAACAAGTTGCACCTAGAGCATCCGGTTGAAGATCTTGGCTTCCTTGGCACGCCGAAGGCACACCCTCAACTCCAAGGCTTGCCGGTCATACTGCTCATCCAGAGCAAGCAGGTACGTGGTCAAGGCACCATGGTAGGACTGTCCTCTTACGGATCAACCCTTGCAGAGCCTCCATGCGAGCCCTCCATGCACGCCAATTCCTGTCCAAAGGTGGAAAGAACCGCATGGGGGTACGGACAATGGGCTCCTCATAGATCAGGCAGAGGTACCGCAAGGCTTTGCGGGCCACAACCTGGTAGGTGTCGACGAAGCAAAACCCGGTTGCGGTCATACTCCAGGCTTTAGTGAGGTCGGGGAACTCCTCACTCTTCCCGATGTAGACGGTAACCTCACACCACTCGGTGCCATGCTTCTCATACTCACGGCCCTCATACTTGGGATGATCTTTGACTCTAAGCTTTTGTAGGGTGGCATGCAGGATTCTAGGAAAACCCTCAATGTTCAGGCAGTAGGTACTCACCCAGGCTCCTGCCATCTCTAGCGGTGGTTGTAAGGAAGGCTGAGCGAAAAGAAAGGCGGGCTCAAAGGAAAAGCTAGGCGAGCTAAAGTGCGCCGAGTGATGGTACCAATGGCTAAGTCAGACTCTACTTATAAAGGCAAAGCGTTCAGTGGTCCAGACATGGTCCACCAGTGTTCCTGCGCGGGATCACTATGACGAATCGACCAAATTCCGCACGTTCGAGGCGAGCGACGTGCGATGCCATTACTGACTAGTACGACTACAGGGCAAGGATCCGATAAGAGCGTAGAAAAGGGGTACGGAGAGACGTGGGTCACGACCGGCGTGAACCACGGGCGAACGCGGAGCACGAAGCCACAGTGCAAACCTAACTCTGAAACAGAAATGAGCCAGTCGTGCACAATACGACACGTGGGACACCTAGGGAGGGCGTATCTACAAGCAATATGAGCTCTACAATGCACAAACAGGATATGCATAAATGCACGTCCTATACGTCCTTCCACTGTTGCCAACATATAGGGCAACCGTTCTCAGATTTTTGGCACATCGTTCTCTCCCTATAGCTAGTCGGTACTATCGGACTATGCTCGGGTCAGTGTACCTGCAGAAACTTGATTAATCCTATCTAAGTCAGCAAAGTGCCATCTATCCTAGATACATAACTATAGTAATAAGGCTACTTATATAACTTCGCATAAAAACGTCCTAACTTTTTGCAAAAATGGGCTGTCAAATTTTAGTTTGGAAAAGGTTTTCGAAGCCTTATTTTCTTATTTGCGCTCTGATACCACCTGTGGCAGAACTGTCTAATCTAATGCCTCACAGAAGTGCTCGCCTTCTATTAGACACTAAGCACCCAAGGGAGAACACTAAATTACTTGGTTCCGTGGGGCACACCCTAGGGGAGAACCCAAAAATCCACATTTTTGCCATTAGAATCACAAATGAGAGAATAAAGCTTACAACATTCTTAACCATTTTTTACATCACTTTTAATACAACATCAGAGTATAATAGTTATTGTATAACAGCGGAATGTAATCATCTTATTAGAGTTTATGAACAATTTAAGTGAACAGCGGAATATAAGCATGTGAACAGAGTTACAGCAAAATTAAACATCTATTTATGACATGATGAAGCATTGGTAAATAACTAGGACAACATATTATAAAACTTTCTTTTATAAATAATATTTAGTAAGAGTTACAAATAAAAACTACGATCGCAGCGTAAGGAAATCATCGTTGAGCCCACCAGGAGGTATCCACACACAATGGTCAGCCTTAGCATCCACCTGTCATCTGCAATAGGAGGAATAAAACCCTGAGTACTCAATTGTACTCAGCAAGACTTACCCGACAGGAGGAAAGAAAAGACTCCAAGGATATGCAAGGCTATCTGGCTTGTGGGTTTATTGCATTTGCAGGAAGCATTACTAAGCATGTGTCCTTATATTCGATTTTTATTAATAGCCGTATTGGTTCATTAACTAACCATTCTATGTAAGCACATGTGCTACGTTCAAGCGGTGGTAAGCAATCAGATTTCCTTTTTTCACCTTCCATCTTTCATCTTTAGTTCTTACTATGGTGCTAGACACGAAACAAGCCGTACCAGATTGCCTGCGGCGATTCACGAATCAATGCCCCCAGCTGGGTACCTCGAAAACACACGCCCCACTTGTACTCAAGGCACAAGCAGGACCAACCCATCACTCTCCTATCCCCAGTGTCTAGGTCCCCATCCAAACTGGGACTCCAAGCCCCCGCCCCTAAGTCCCGGACTCAGCGCGGTGCAAGGACCTCCTCCACCAAAATAAAACCCCGACAGTCGGTCCGGAAAGAGCCGGATCCGCAACAAGAGAGCGACAAGTCTTCCAAGCGCCCATACCCAAGTATGTGCTCGGGATAATAAATCTGTGACTTGCCTCGATGGCTTATGCAACGATCGGTCCTTAACCGACCAGACAGGAAAAAGTAGTGTAACCAAGCTATGCCCCACGTCCACGGCGACACAACCTCTTACACCCACCAATACCCAAATCATATCTCTACCCGGTCACCATTTTCCTTTCCACCATTTATATTTACCAAGTGATAATAATACAGTAATATATTTTCTATCTCTCGCGAGTGACAGACAATCACTCGACTTATACCGAGAGTCCTGTAGCATAGCATTTTACACGATCCTGTCATGCTAGTAAGACTCATAGGATAAAGATATATATACAAGTGGATTTAATTCAACTCCTTAAAACTTAATGCACAAATATAATTTAAATTGTAAAAAGTAGGGGTTATGCACCGGGGCTTACCTGGGTAAGATATATATTAAGAAGTTAGTATCTACATCTTCAAATCCTACACCATCATCTGGATAGAAAGCTCATTGCATCATCTCCGGGAGAGAATACCATTACACCATTTTTGGATTCACAATCATCCTTCAATTGATCCGTTGATCCATCGTCGTACCTATATGATATGCATTGATGCAAATGCATAGATGTAAATAATCAACGACAGCCGAAATGCTTAGAAATCCGATCACGCCTCATAAGCTAACGAGATAGCTCTAACGACGATCGTACTTAGGTTATATATCCATGTTGTCGAATAAGATATTATTTCCCAACGATTATTTTAGTTATATAAACCCAAGATATTTCTTTATTTCGTTCTATCGATTTAACCATTATTCGAGATAGAGCATTATTAGCTACCTAGCAAACTGATTATTCTGGAGCTACAAAAATTACCACAAGTACCTAATATTGCTAAGGGCGTACTGTAAAAATTTCAGATTCAACACTATCACCGATTTATCACAACAATTCCTATAAATTTATATTTTTTTACCATATTAAGTATCCCAAATTAATTATATAGCTCTAAGAATATCATCAAAGACGAAGACACGCGCGCGCTCACGCGCGGTGGCCGGGCGATGGCGGGCACAGGGCGCGATGGTGGTGCGGACACCGGGCGAGCACGCACGGCGGCGCGCCAAGGCACGCACGTCTTTGCGGCAGCAACCAAAGCACGGCCGGGCGCGCGACGGCGCGCCGAGAGAGGCGCCGCTATCTCTGCACGACGAGAAAGGCGTGCACTGCGGAGATGAAAAAGGTTGAATTCGAGACAAGCAAGGACGGAGGCAGGCAAGACAAGACCGCAGACGCAGAAATAGAATAGGAGAAAAACCAGAGGTTCGGCCGAGCACACGAAGGAGCTGAGAGCGAGCTCGCCAGCTGTGAGCGGAGCAGACCGACCGGCAGCGACCACGAGCACGTGGTGCAGCAGGCGAACAAACAAGGAAGGACTGCACGATGCATCAAATCGAAGCAAGCAGCTAAGCGCAGCTTGAAGCCAAGAGAGAGCCCACACGCGCAAGGTCGCGAGAAGCAACGCCAAGCGTCGATGACGGAGAAAAGAAATATCGAGGAGCATCGATCAACATGTATCGGAGAAAAGAAATATATGAGGCCCTTTTTCTAATTCTTTGTTTTAGAGTCAACATGCTGGTATATATATATATATATATATATATATTTGCCCTTTTTCTAATTCTTTGTTTTATATATATTTACCGTCACTAATTTATATATATATATATATATATATTTAACGGTTTACTAATTTAGATAATTTATAACGTCTAAGCACAGAAAATTTTTAGCAAAGCTCGAATTTAAATTTGATTCAAAAGCTATATATATGTATATCGTTCTATTTATTAATGGATTTTATTTTATTTATAAATGGTTGCTTTTCATGCTTAATCTAATAGAACGAACCATTTGCTAGAATCGTCGTTCGACATTCCTAAATATCTTTACGCACTGAGTAATTTGACTTAGCGTTGATTTGAGTCCACGAAACTAAATCACACATGATTCGCTTATCGCCTTAAGTACATTTTATATTAAAATCAGAGAAAACTCAATTCAAAATTTTTTCTTAGGCCTAAATCACGATGCTAAATAAGATCGTAACATCGGGACGTTACACCACCTGCACGTGTTCCCCGTGGACACCGTCACCGATGAGGCCTGTGTCGGCGTTGGTAGCGAAGGAGGTCCTGGCCGTCGCGCCGTCGCCGTCGTGTAAGGTGCGGAGCGTGGCGTTCGACCTCGCCGTCACCGGGGACGACGCGCGGCTCGGGTTGGCGAGGGTGGCGGCCGTCGTGGAGGGCCGCGACGTGGGCGTTCTCGTCAACAACGCCGGCGCGACGTACCCGTGCACCGCCTACTTCCACGAGGTGGAGGCGCCCATGTGGGAGGCCGTGGCGCAGGTGAACGTCGAGGCCACGGCGGGCGAGGTAGGCAGCTCGACGGCGTCCTCGGCCGTGCGGTCGTTCTTAGCTTCGGGATGGGCTCTGCTTTTTGCATGGGTGCATGATCTTTTTCTGAGCCTAACCCAAAATGAATAGGTGTCGTATTTAGCGTCGTTGTTGGAGCTCTCCCCGTCCCCTCGTCCGAACCGCACCCACCGCTCCTCCTCTTCTCTCCTTCCCATCCCGATCTCCATCGCCGCCAGGACGACCTCCGCGCGCTGCTCGGCCGCTCTCCGCCGGCGCCCTTTCCTACTCCTCTCCAGTCGCGCCGGCCCCCCCGCGCCCTTTCCTCTTCGCCGCGGCCGCGCAGCCCGTGGTCCGCCTCCGCCTCGCGCCGTCGTGCCTGCACTCCACCGTCGCGCCTGCACTCCGCCTCGCCTTCGCGCTGGTGTAGGCCGCGGCGACGATGGATCTGGATGGAGAAAGCGATAGTGAGGCAAGGAAGAATGGTACGGGGATCGCCATCCCTACTAGTTCCGGAGACGCTCCGGAAGCGGCTTCCACTGCCGTCCGCTCAAAGAAACGCGATGCACCGCCTGACATGCAAGAGGGAACTGAGGGAACTGAGAAGAAGAAGAAGAAGAAGAATAAGAAGAAGAAGAAGAGGAAGACGAAGAGTCGGAGGACGGCTGCCAAATCATCGCCCCCACCTGCTTCTTTGGAGAAGAACACTGATCCTTCCCTCTCTCCTCAAAGGAATTATGGTAAAGGTTAGGATTTTGTGAAACTTTTCGAATTATTCTCAAATTCGTGTTGTTAAGGTTGGTTATTTCTCTTTTTGATTTGGAATTGATAGTTTAGTATTTCGTCAACAAGGAAGTGTTAGCTTTCATCAATATGATTCAAATGGTTCTAGTTTCGTTATGATCATGATCATATTAGTGGTTTAGGACTGTCACCAAAACAGTGCTGTTGTCCAGATAGGGTTTAGGACTAGTCACCAAAACTGTGCTGCTGTCCAGATAGGGTTTAGGACTAGTCACCAATTCAGTGCTGCTGTCCAGATAGGGTTTAGGATTAGTCACCAAAACAGTGCTGCCGTCCAGATAGGTTTAGCCTGGACGGAAATCTATTTGTCTGTTTTTTATCAGTTAAAGACAGAATTCATCCTGGCCACCCAAATAAACTTTCTTGGATTTTTTGTTATAGATATCCGCATTGTATTTGTTTATTGTATATTCGTATTTAATTAATTATATAAATTAAAGGATAGGGTCAGAACAATGAGTAATTTATAAATTTAGTCAAATTTTGAGATATTGTATCAATTGGCTATTTAGAGTTTGAACAAGGTATTCATGATATATACTCCTAATCAAATTTGCTTCACAGGTTTGAAGGATACCGATTCCTCTGACTATAGCTCTCCACTCCGTCGCCCCAAGTCTCTACTCGTGGAAAAAACAACTAGCAATGGGGAAATAGTGTATGAGTACAACTCAGACCAAGAGGTTGTGGATGCCTATCACAAAGATCTTCACAAGTACAACAAGAAATTAGGTTTGTGAGCTTCTTTTTCTCTCCCTATACCTAATCCAACAGTTATTTTTCTTTCGTTCTTTTACATCTACATGTCTATTTAATTGTTTTTTTGTCGAGTTTATATACGGTTCAAATGCATGCTCTTGTAATATGTGTAGCTCGGCAACAACAGCTACCCACACTTAAACAATGCAATTATGGCCGAAATGTAACTGATTGGGATAATCTGAAGCAGAAGAATGCAATTCTAGATGTGGCCGAGTCTGTGCTGCGTCTTTCTTCCTCTCATGGTATTACTAATGTCTCTTATTTAGTTTGTTAATTAATAGATGCAAATCCATATTTTGTTATATTAGTTGAGTTTTTTTTTACTTTGTATTAATTTGCAGATGGCAAAGAGATCAATAGCTGTAATGGTACTATCTTTGAGTGGGATGAAAGCGATAAATCTGCTATTGTTGTCACTTCATCTCAGATTATAGCCTCAAAGGTATCATTAGATGATTGGGAGGATAACAATGTTTACGTTCCCAATGCCAAGGTAAATAAGTTCTTGGATATCTGGTCGATATTCCGTTAGTTCTTGGATTTTTGGTCGATATTCCGTTGTTCTTTATGTTGACATGTCTAATCTTAGGCTAGCGTTGTTTGCTTAATTGCTTACATCTTTTTTTTTCAGGTGACTGCTCACCTGTTAGATGGAACCACTTCTGATCTGACATTATTGTACTTCAGCAAACATTATGAAGTTGCCTTTTTTAAGGTTATGGGAGCTTCAAAGTTACAAGTTGCATCATTGGAACCTGAGCTTGAGTTTGGTAGTGAAGCTTGTGTGTTAGCAAGGGAGAAAGATCTTGGATTGATTTGTAGGCGGACGAAGATACTAGCATTGGATCCGTGTGACCACCAAAGGAATCACTATCTATTCATTGGTGGCTCAATTCCTGAGGTAAGAATGTACTTAATACTTGACTAGCAGTTGCCCGTGCGTTGCTACAAGAGCATCATAATTTTTCGAGCACTCTGACATTTTCTCAAACACATGTTATTAAACCACCCACATGATTTAAAAGAAAAAGAAGTCTAGAAAGTGCTTGTTTTAGATTTATGAGCAAACTCTGAACTATCTGAACATCAGTGCTATGCACGTTTATGCCTCAACATTGTTCATTTGCATTCCACCAATGTTGTGCATCTACAAAAGTCACCTGGCAGCTTGCCTCCTCTATTTGGTGCCTGAAAGGAAGTTACAGAGAAGAAGTTAAGCCATTGAATAAGCTGATGTGTATTGTTTCTAGAAAGCTCTACCTGTGTCATATGTGGTGTTCAAACAAAAATGAAACCTGTCAGTCCATATGCATTATATGTACAGTCCAAATGTAAATGTTCAGTAAGCCTTGCTGTGGCTGTGCTGCTGCTGCAGCTGCAATAGCCAAGGAACAAACTACTGTAGACACGAGCACAAAAGCTTGCAGCTGCAGCCGTTCCGGCTGCAATAAATCACTACCGAATGGGCCGGTAAAATCTATAAAAGGTCTGGTGGGATATGGTTCTATGATTATGTCAGATCATACTAAGGTTATTGTGTACAAAATAAGAAAACTTCAGCATTCAGCAATGCTAAAAGTAAAAAGAACTTGCTCACATTAACAATATTAATATCTTGAACTTGCCCAATGGATTCAACCAAAATCTCCCAACTTCTTGAGTTAATGACATTGAATGGTATTGCTTTCTCATAAAAAAAAAAATCAGCCACATGATCATCTACTATTCGTTTTGCTTCCTTGGTCTTTGTGGAGTACTTAAGAGCCTGCGACATCTTAGATTTATGCCTTTCTGCAACTACTTCTGGATTCTTGCAAAGCAAAGAACTCACTGACTTGGAATGCTTCTCTGTTTGAGGTTTTGGTGGAGCAGAAACCACAAAGTTAGTGATTGATCCTTCAGCTATCTTTTTCGCTTGCTTTGACTTTGTCCCAGAACTTGGAACTTGCTTTGCAGCCTGTTCATTTGTCCCATCACTTGGTTCATTTTCACCAGCAGCAGAAGCACCACCTCCACCTTGAACTGTTACACCATCCCCATGTTCACCTTCTGTTCCTGCCTCCACCACAGTGTCCATAGGTAACTGAGTCTTTGACTAAGACCAAGTAAGCATACATTCTCATGCCTAACTATTGCAGGGGCTCTAGGATATTTCTCTGCATCAGTATATACCCCCAGTAAGGTGTTGCTTGAATCTTTTAATGCCTGAAGGGACAATCTTTTTGCAAAAAATACATTGGCCCTATGTCTGGCTAAAACCCATAGTTTAATCCAAGATCTGATGATATTGCCTTCCTCTTAGTATATTCAGCCATGGCAGCAAGATATAGCGGCAATTCAGCTATGGCTTAGCGCCTTAGCTATTAGAGATTAGATATGCTTTAGTTGGAGCAGCCGACAATGCTGAGGCCGAATTACCCCCTAGCCCCTCCTGAGACAACTTCATCTACAGGTAAATAGACTTCAATAGTTGCACGGCGTTGAGCATCCTCTCAACAGCTGCGCAAATTCACCACAAATTATAGTCGTAACACAACAATAGAGTAGTAGACACAGACACCAACTTTCAGAGTAAGAGTGGTGGCTCATCTTGCAGCTTGAGGTGTCCGTCCCCAGGCGTCGTGGAGGGAGATGCCACTGCAGGATTGCAGAGGCCCTGAGAGGGCGGAGCTGCAGGGGTCCCGGCAGGGGAGGCACAGGAGGAGTTGTGGGCAGAGGTGTAGGGTGCGGAGGAGCTGCTTGCGGAGCTGTAGGCATGGGCGGAGCTGCTGGTGGGGGTGGAGGCGTGGGTGGAGGTGTGGGCGCTGACGAGGGAGACCCAGAGAGAGGTGGCCAGGCACAGACCAGAGGAAGGAGCCGCGGGCCGAGGTGGAGGCGTAGACCCGGAAGTGGAGGGACGCGGGCGGAGGCGTCGGCACTGGCGAGGGAGAGCATAGCAGAGAGGTGGCTGAGCAGGAATCTGAAAGAAGCGTGCGCTCGGTGGAAATTCTTCACTGCATCTCATCCACTCCTCTTCACTCCATACATATTACTGAGGCAGCCTGTTCGGTTGAACTTATCATCCCTTATCAGCCATATGATATAGTGTTTTTCTCTCACAACAAAACAGCACCAGCCGACTTATCAGCCGCAGAAACCAAGGGGTGATTGGGTTGATCCCCACCTCTCACCCAATGCACACTCATTTGTTCCAGCTAACCAATGTTTGGACCAGGTTATTACAAACATTTGTGCGTGTCAATTCTAACTGCAAATATTGAAACAACAATTTTCGAGAATCTAGGATGGTACAAAAAAAAAATTCAAAAATAATGAGACATGGTAGGTCATCCAATCCATAATTGCAAGACAGGCCCTGTAGAATTGAAAATAAGTACAGTGCATGAACTTGCTGCCAACTCAAAGACATGTAATAAATCTTGCATCAGCCTTGGTACTACTAAATCTTCTACTAGCAGTTTTTATTTCTTTGTTTAAAAAAATGGTGACAAACATTAAGTACATTTAGCGATTCATGGTTCTCTTTTTTTCCTGTTTTTGAGACTTTGAATCAGAAACTGGAGTTATGGCAGAAGACTTTGGAGTTCAAAGGTTTTAGACTCAATAAAACTAAAACTGAGTATATGAGATGTGACTTCGGCATTACTACTCGAGAGGAGGAAGATATTAGTTTGGAAGGTCAAGTAGTGCTTAGGAATGATACCTTTCGATATTTAGGATCAATGTTACAGAGAGACAGGGATATTGATGAAGATATTAGCCATAGAATCAAAGCAGGGTGGATGAAATGACGCCAAGCATCTGGTGTCCTATGTGACAAAAGGATACCACAGAAGCTAAAAGGTAAGTTTTATAGGACGGCGATTAGACCTGCTATGTTGTATGGTGCAGAATGTTGGCCTATGAAAAGACGACATGTTCAACAGATAAGTGTCGAGGAAATGCGTATGTTGCGTTGGATTTGCGGTCATACAAGAAGGGATCGAGTTCGGAACGACGATATACGTGATAGATTAGGGGTAGCACAAATTGAAGAAAAGCTTGTCCAACACCGGTTGAGATGGTTTGGACATGTCCAACGGAGACCTCCAGAGGCACCGGTGCGTAGTAGAATCCTAAGCTAGGATAGTAACGTGAAGAGAGGCAAATGAAGACCGAAGTTGACTTGGGTAGAGGCAATAAAAGGAGACTTGAAAGGATGGAATATACCCAAAAAGTTAGCCTTAAATAAGAGTGCTTGGAAAATAGCTATTCATGTGCCTGAACCTTGATTGCTTCTGTTGGGTTTCAACTTTAGCCTACCCTAATTTGTTTGGCACTTAAAGGCTTTGTTGTTGTTGTTGTTGAGACTTATTGCTCTAGAGATAAATAAACTTCTTTAGTGTAACTTAATGTATATTCTTTTGTGCAGTCCAGTACTGGAGGATCATTGACAGATTTCAACCGGAAAGTTGTGGGGGTGGTCGTGAATGCCTTACCTAACTTTGCCTTTATTCCTAGCTCCATTATCATCAGATGTTTTCGATTGTGGCAAAGTTTCAAGTACGTATTTTATAGTACCTCTTAATTCTTTATTTAGGTGTGCATTGCTTTTAATTTTTAATTTGCCTAAATGACTAAAAAATAAGCCAAATTAATGTAGAGGTCATCTACTACTCAGTTCCAACTATTTTTCGAAGTCTCACAATTTGTAACCAATTGACCATTTGGTAGTATTATACCAGTCTACGGAATATGTATTTAATTTAATAATGTTGTGATAATGTGGTATAGGAAAATTGCTCGACCCCATCTTGGTTTAAAGCTAAGGACTGTTCAATTTCTTGACATAACACATCTCGAGCAGTTATCCCGTGATTTTAAAATCAAGGTTGGTCTCATTGTTGGAAAGGTATGCCTCTTTGTTTTAGTTTTGTGAAACTGTTGTTTAATCTAAAATATTTATGTTCTAATGCTTGTAAATCGTCTTTAGGTGTCTAGCGAATCACTTGCTGAGAGAAATGGTTTTAGAACTGGTGATGTCATCTTTAGTTGTCGAGGAGAGTCTGTTTCGACTATAAGTGAGGTATAAAAATATTTGTCCTTATAACTGTGAGACTTTAGTGAATTGTTTTTTTAATGAAGATTTTTTTTCCTATTTAGTTTGAAGGTATACTGTTGGATATTTGTGAGAAACAATTTAAGGAGGGTAAGGGTCTGAACGATGAAGTAGATGTTGAGGTAAGCTTGTTGGCGAGTTATGCTCAAATTAATTTATTCTTTTGCTAGCATATTATCTTGTATTGGTACATTGCGATTTCTACTACTAGCCATTTCTTTGATTAGCAATACAATATTTACTTTTGATTCCAAGCATAAATGTACATACTATCTTTTCTCTAGACAGCTTATGTTTCCGCTATTTTTTCTTTAGAGTGTCCTCTCAGCAAGGAATATGATATTGAACTTCAATGTTAGTATGGTATTGAACAGTGTTCAATGTCTAGAGACAGTGTTTTAAAGGCGTCGAAGCGGACGCCATACGACACCAAGCTTGGCGACCCCCGAGGCCCCGACGCCCAGACCTTTTCCCCGTCCCCTGCTTTGTTTGAATTTGTTTATTAGGCTGGAGGGTGTTCGTGCTCTGATTCAGCTGCATATTACTCCGTATGTTGGCTATAAAGATTAGATTGGCATCTGAATTTTATTTGCATTATATATTAAATAGTTTGTATGGCGTCGCCTAGGCGCGCCTTATTCGCCTAGGCGGCTGGAAGGGGGTCGCTCGCCTCGCCTCGCCTTACCATCTTCTTGCCTTGCCTTACCGTCTTTAAAACATCGGTTTAGAATAATGTGTATATGCTATCTTTTCTAAGCATTCATGAATGAAGCTATTTGTTTTGAAAATTTTCTTTTGTTGTTACAGCTTGGTGTCTACAAACTGCGTGAACCTGCCAGTAGGAGAATGGTCACTTTATCTGTACAACTATCGGATTGTATGGAGGCCATTGATTATGGTAATAATTGTTTACCGCAGTTGCAATTGTCTTGATCGGTTGGATTCGATCACAATATTTCTTCTCAAAGTTTTTTGTTTCTGGAAAGGTTTTTAGCTCGTCAGTAGTCTCCAGGGTTCTTGCTGCACAAAAACAAATAAGATCCTGTTCGGTTGGCTGGGCTAGCTCGTTGCTGGTTCGTGAAGAAGCTGCCGCATCGTGAGAATTGCTGGAAAAAGTCTGAGTTTGGCTAACATTTGTGGGAATTGCACCATTGTAAGTCAGTTTTGCTCTGTAACTTGCTGTAGCTGATCGCAAACCATGCAGGGTCAAACATAGACTAAAGACACCAGAACTTATATACTGCTTGTTTCCATTCTGTTGGTTATGTCATTCGCACATTGAATTGTTTGCACTGGGATTTTAAAACAGAGAAACCTGACTGCCTGTTTTGGTTTTTTTTTTTTTTTTTGAATCTCAAACTTGGCTCTAGGGCCTTATATTCGTCTCCAAGAGCTCAGCGCATTTGCGAGTGACAACGTTCATTACAGAGATAGGGAAATCATCAAGCCAAAACCTCGACTGGCCTGACTCCCAAGCTAGACCAAGTTTGGCAATCTCGTGCAAAGACGAGTTACAAGATCGTGATACATTAGAAACAGTATATCTATTAAAATGAACATCAAGAAACTCACGGAGGAACATAAACAATATTCTATATATCTAGCAAAATGAACATCAAGAAACTCACGGAGGAACATAAACAATATTCCGAACATAAACAATATTCTACTTATCTATCAAAATGAACATCAAGAAACTCACGGAGGAACATAGACTGCAGAGCTTCTCACAACTGACTAGAATTCGTCTCCACTTGAATCCTGGAGATGCCATGCGCCTGAATGGCCTCCACTGCCAGCCATAAGGGGCTTACATTGCCGGCTCCTACTAACACCAGATCCCCAGCTGCATCTCTTGCCACGATACCCCAAGCACCATCTTTGTTCTCATTTTTTAAAGCACCACCAATGTTCACCTTCAGCCAGCCCGTGTCGGGAGGTTTCCATGCAGGAACTGTCTTCTCCACTGAACTAGATATGCCCCTAGTAATAACATGTTGCTCTGCAGAAGAACTGAGCACAACCTTCACTATGTCGCTGCTAGGACGTTGCGCCTCACCAGCATTAATCCTGTTTCTCTCCTCCCACCACTTCGAACGGCCTTACATTTTAAGAAACAAGGCCACCATCCTCATCAAAACGCCAGCACACCTAGCATCTAGTATCAGGTTTCATTCTATTGGATGAATTAGCTCCGGCAATGCCTAGCAAAGTGATCGCGTAGACGGAATCAGATGGTAACACACGAGACACAAGAATTTATACTGGTTCATGCCACGATGCGCGTAAAATCCTAGTCTGCTACTCGTGTATTCGTATGCTCGATTACAGGGCTGTTGCTCCTAGCTACATAGTAGATTGGAATGAGATGAGTTGGATCCTGAGCACGAGATCCCTACCCTCCTTTATATAGGCAGAAGGGGTAGGGTTACAATGAGAACGATCAGGCTAACAAATTAGATTCATAGTTTGTTACATGGAATGCGCAACAGATTGATCCTAATTATCGTCCAGATATGCCTATCTTGCTTCCGGACATCCAAAAGCCCACGAATTGTCGGGCCATTCCCTAATCTCCGACAATTCCATGTTATAATCCTCATTTTTTCTAGGCGGATTGGCAAAGTAATCCCGCCTGTTCATTCTCAGAGTCCATTTTTTGTTTCTTTTATTGATTCTTGTTCTTCAACTTCAGTGCATATGTCATCATCATTAAGACGAGCAAGCACAATGGCCATCTCCTCCATATCTTCTGTGTGATCAAAAGAACCATCACTTTTCTCCTCCTCCCAAGACTGTCTCACCTGCTTCCTTTTCTTTTGTTGATCTGACACATTATGCTCTTGAACACTTCCCTTTACAGGCCTGGGATTGGTTTTGGTCGTTGTTTTGGGAATCATATATTGATCTCTTATATTATGACTCCAATTTGGAGAAATTATTTGATCCTCTTTCTTATTAAAACTCTCCGGATTTTGCTGTCCTAATAAGTCAAAATTCTTGGATTGATCATCTGAATGTTGAGAATCGGTCCACTTGATACATTACAGAACCTCTATGGTAAACTAGAACTGTGACCTCACAACTCCTCAAAAATCTTCTTCTTCCTTCCATCTGGGACTCTCAGGTACACAATATACGACAACCGGCCATTTTCGTCATGTTCCGCTGGTGTAGGGCACTCTACTGATGAATGTCCAATTATTCCACAGGAGTAACAATATATTGGTATTTTTTCATATTATATCTCATACCCCTTTGCTTGCCTTTTTGCTGAAAAGATTGATACACCCCTCCGTAGGGGTTTAGTTATATCAATTTTAACTTTCACTAAGCTCCCATGCCCGACCTTGAGCATCAACATCTAGCTTCTCCATGATGCCAATTTTTTTAGCTAACTCCTCCCCCCCCAATGTTTATTCATTAAGCCAAAGGGAAGATTCTTTATTCTCACCCAAACTGACGTGTGATTAAAAACAATGTCTGCTGGTCTCAAGTTAGCATCAAAGTCTTGAATTAGGACAACTCGTTTGCCTACATTCCAAGACGACCCATCCAAAACCCGGTCTTTATCTTGTTTCGACCCAAATTCTGCAATAAAAAGATTATTCCCTATTGAGCTTGCATTTAGACCCTTAAGATTTCCCCATGCAGGTCGCAATGCCGCCATGATTGTTTGGATATGTTTGAGAGAGAACCTTACCAATAATCGCGCACTTGGATGTGGCGAGTAAATCCTCAATATCATCAGCCACTTTGAGGGCATCACTTTCTTCCACTGTGAGTTTCAGCCGGCCAATCATCTCAGCCATCTTGTCATCTAGCAAAGCGTGACCACTACCCTCACCAGCATGCTGCTTCAGCTTCTCCATCGACAGCATCAGATTTTCCTTCTCCATTGAACACAGAGTTCCTCCTAGTCCCTGATCTTTTAGGATTCTAGCACCCTCCTGCTCCCGACACACGCAAGCCAAGGGAGGGCAGTGAATCCCCGAGCCGCAGCTGCCGGCAAACGGGAGCACCGAATCCTGCAGGATTCAGATTCGATTTGAGGAGGAGCGAGCAGAGTACCTCGCGTCGAAGATCACGAAGCACCCAGTGGACTCCCGAGCTTGAATCTCACTCCGCAGGAGGTGGAGGAGGAAAAAACCGCCCTCTCTTTACTGTTCCCTCGAACAGACGAGAAGGCGCCACTAGAACGCAATCAAAGCTAGCTACAGAATAGGAGTAAGGGGCATCGCATCTCTCTACTGTTCACTAGAACTGTCGAGAAGGCTGAACTTGCATCGTTTCCCGCAGTGCGACGCTTCGCCTGGAAGTAAGGAACCAGTGGCGTTCAAAAGGCCGGAACTGACATGGGCGGAAGACCAACTGGCGTCCCTGGCAGCTAGAACCTTACTGCGGATACTATAGAAGGGGAAGAAGCTGAAGAAAAGCGTCGTGAAGAATCGAAACGCGTCCTTAGTAGCTGGAACCTTACTGCAGATACTATAGAAGGAAGAAACTGAAGAGAAGCGTCGTGAAGAATCAACACACTCAATCCGCCCGGTGGCAATGGCGGCGAGCCACAGCATGCCCGTTTATATCTGTTTGCATCTGGGAGGGGTGTTATTTATCGAATTCGCGTCTTTGACATCCTAATTGAGTCAATCTAAAGAATTCGAGAGAAATCCCATCGGTTCGGTTACAAATTGGTATCCATAGCTTGTCATGAGTATGTTCCTCATAGCACTTGAAAAAATACTCCAGGAAAAAAAAACAAATTCAGATAAACCCAAAACCTGAAACAGGCAGTCAGGTTTCTCTGGTTTATAAAATCCCAGAATAAACAATTTAGTATGCAAACATGACATAAGCAACAGGCAAGAAGTAGGATACAAGTTCTGGTGTCTTTGTCTATCGCTAGAGCTTGCATGGTTTACGATCAGCTACAAGTTATAGAGCCAAACTGATTCACAATGGGGCAGTTCTCAGAAATGTCAGCCAAACTCAGACATTTGCCAGCAGTTCACAAAATGCGACAGCTTCTTCATGAACCCTGCAGATTACTGCAGAGCAAAGAACCTTTTCAGAAACAAAATACTTTAAAAAGAAATATTGTGATCAGATCCAGGCGATCAAGACAATTGCAACTGCTTGAAAAACAATCATTACCTTAATCAAAGGCCTCCATACAATGTGAAAGTTTTACAGACAAAGTGACCATTCTCCTCATGGCAGGATTACGCAGTCTGTGGACACCAATCTGTAAAAGCAAAGGAAAAATTTCAAAACAAATGATAGCGTCATCCAAGAATGCTTCGAAAAGATAGCATATACATATTATTCTAAACTAAAATTGAAGTTCAATATCATATTCCTTGCTGAGAGGACACTCTAAAGAAAAGATAGGGGAAACATAAGCTGTCTAAAGAAAAGATAGCAAATATACATTTATGCTTGAAACATAAGTACATATCTTATTGTATTGCTAATCAAAGAAATGGCATATTGGTAATGTACAATACAAGATAATATGCTAGCAAAAGAATAAATTAATTTGAGCATAACTCGCCAACAAGCTTACCTCAACATCCACTTCATCGTTCAGACCCTTACCCTCCTTAAATTGTTTCTCACAAATATCCAACAGTATACCTTCAAACTAAATAGGAAAAAAAATCTTCATTAAAAAAAATTCACTAAAGTCTCGCAGTTATAAGGACAAATAATTTTATACCTCACTTATAGTCGAAACAGACTCTCCTTGACAACTAAAGATGACATCACCAGTTCTAAAACCATTTCTCTCAGCAAGTGATTCGCTAGACACCTAAAGACGATTTACAAGCATTAGAACATAAATATTTTAGATTAAACAACAGTTTCACAAAACTAAAACAAAGAGGCATACCTTTCCAACAATGAGACCAACCTTGATTTTAAAATCGCGGGATAACTGCTCGAGATGTGTTATGTCAAGAAATTGAACAGTCCTTAGCTTTAAACCAAGATGGGGTCGAGCAATTTTCCTATACCACATTATCACAACATTATTAAATTAAATACATATTCCGTAGACTGGTATAATACTACCAAATGGTCAATTGGTTACAAATTGTGAGACTTCGAAAAATAGTTGGAACTGAGTAGTAGCTAGCTTACATTATTTTGGCTTATCTTTTAGTCATTTAGGGAAATTAAAAATTAAAAGGGTACCACAGAAGCTAAAAGGCAAGTTTTATAGGACGGCGATTAGACCTGCTATGTTGTATGGTGTAGAATATTAGCCTACGAAAAGACGGCATGTTCAACAGATAAGTGTCGCGGAAATGCGTATGTTGCGTTAGATTTGCGGTCATACAAGAAGTGATCGAGTTCAGAATGATGATATACGTGATAGATTAGGGGTAGCACCAATTAAAGAAAAGCTTGTCCAACACCGGTTGAGATGGTTTGGACATATCCAACAGAGACCTCCAGAGGCACCGGTGCGTAGTGGAATCCTAAGCCAGGATAGCCAGGATAGTAACGTGAAGAGAGGCAAAGGAAGACCGAAGTTGACTTGGGTAAAGGCAATAAAAGAAGACTTGAAAGGATGGAGTATACCCCAAGACTTAGCCTTAGATAGGAGTGCTTGGAAAACAGCTATTCACGTGCCTGAACCTTGATTGCTTCTGCTAGGTTTCAACTCTAGCCTACCCCAACTTGTTTGGGACTTAAAGGCTTTGTTGTTGTTGTTGTTGTTGTAGGGAAATTAAAAATTAAAAGCAATGCACGAATAAGTAAAGAATTAAGAGAAACACTAAAATACGTACTTGAAACTTTGCCACAATCGCAAACATCTGATGATAATGGAGCTAGGAATAAAGGCAAAGTTAGGTAAGGCATTCACAACCATCCCCACAACTTTCTGGTTGAAATCTGCCAATGATCCTCCAGTACAGGACTGCATAGAAGAATATAGATTAAGTCACACTAAAGAAGTTTATTTATCTGTAGAGCAATAGATCAAGAAAACAGGAAAAACAGAGCAAATCTCGAAAACAGGAAAAAAAGAGAACCATGAATCGCCGAAAAGATTACCATTGTGTAATAAATACCATATACTCATCTTGTCCAAGAATTTGTACGCTAAAATTCAGCGACATTCTTGGTTTACCAAATCTTGTTGTTGAAACTATATGCTTGCAAGGCCTTTGCTCTTTACCGACCATGTGGATGAAGGGGAGCATGGAGGGGAGCATGAAAGCAAATCTGATGGTGTCGAGGAAGAAGATTCAGAAGCATCTAACACTAACAGTGGTAAGAGAAATCCTCTTCTTGATGAAATAACCTTGCGTGGTGCACCACAAGGGAAGAACAATGGTGGAACAAAGGAATGACAGTGCAAGCATTGCAAGAAAACATTCAAAAGTAGCATAACCAGAGTTCGTGCTCATCTCATTGGTCCTAAACGTGGCCAAAAGGCACAGATTTTACGCTGTAATGTGCTACAAAATGATCCCAAGAAGTGCTAGCACTACGGGAAAATGTTAAACAAGTTGAGTAGGACTCAGAATCTTCAAAAACTGTCGCTGTGACCAGAACATATAGTTCTTGCCTAGCGCGTTTGGAATAGCAGAAAGGGATATAGTAGATTTGGAAATACTTAAGAAGTCCTCAATTTCCTAAGATGGTTATTTGGTTACAGCCATCAGAAATGCTACCAAGGGTTATAAAGGCCCTTCGTATGAGAAGGCAAGAACAACTCTCCTAGATGCAAAAGAAGAGTAGAGAATGACCTAGCAGCAATCAAAAGTACATGGTAAGCTGTTAAATTTATTCATCATATCAATTGATAATCAGTGCTATATAATATCTTAGTTTCTTATCTTATTTTTTCTTTCAAATAGGTTGACAGATGGTGTTTCTGTTGTGTCCGAAGGATGGACTAATATAAAAAACAAGCAACTGATCAATGTGATTGCCTCGAACAGCCGAGGTTCATGCTTCTTGTATGCAATGGTGAAAAAATTGCTGAATTTTTATTGACAGCGATTGATGAAATTGGACCATCAAATGCCCTTGAAGTAGTAACAGATAATGCATCGAATTGCAAAGCAGCAGGCAAGGAAATTGAGAAAGTAAGTGGCACTTTAATAGATAATCTATATTATATATTGTGCATATAGGTACTATCTACTGTGTAGGTAATGATTCCTTCCATCTTTTACAGGAGCATAAGCACATTTTTTGGGCCCCTTGTGTTGCTCACACCTTGAATTTAATATTCAAGGATTTTGCTTACAAATTTCCATGGATGTTAAAGACATACAAGACGGGGAAAGCTATTGTCACCTTTTTTTTCATGGCCATTCTCATTGTCAAGCAATGTTCAGAAGTAATTCTCGTTTGGACTTGTCCAAGGTAAAGAAAACCAGATTTGCTTCACATTTCATTTTGCTTGACAAGCATAAGACTGCTGAATTAGATATCTAATACTGGACCCTTATGCAGGCTATCATAGTCCAAGCAACCAATCGGACCCTATATGATTACAGGTCTGCAATCTGCACAAGGACATCAGGAGCACAGGCGTACAACAAGAGAGATTACGAGGTTTCATGTTGCATTGTTGGTTGTAGCCTTCTCCAAGGACTTATTATTTACTAGTAATTCAGTATTTTAGTAACCAGGATCCAGGATTAGAAAACTAGATAGGCTGCAGGTTGCACTGCTGTAGTCTAGCTGGAGAGTGGAGAGTTCAGTACTTCAGTTATCTACTATTTTATCCCTATTATTTCAGAATTGTCTAAGTTTTAAATTTGATGAAAACTTGTGTTATTGCATTCAGTGATATCGACCAAATTAATTTAGAACATGTTCCTCGTTCCAGGATCACGTTCCGGGAACACGTTCCTCATTTTGGGAACGCGTACCATGTTCCCGCACCACGTTCCCTGTGTTCTGGGAACTTGACTGCTAAGAGCCGATTAGAACGACTAGGACCGATTAATCAACCCCGATCAATCATCTAGCGACTAAATGTCCGACTAGACCGACTAATCAACCCCGACCGACAACTAGTCTCGATCAGGTGACTGATCAGTGGTTATACGACTAGCTTTGGTCATACATTCTGATAACATTGCATTACATTCACGCATATATAATTAAAAATAAAGTTGAAATCAAGTATTAAGGATATTCTCACCTCAGGAATTGAGCCACCAATGAATAGATAGCGATTCCTTTGGTGGTCACAAGGATCCAGTGCAAGTATCTTCGTCCGCCTACAAATTAATCCAAAATCTTTCTCCCTCGCTAACACACAAGCTTCACTACCAAACTCGAGATCAGGTTCCAATGATGCAACTTGTAACTTTGAAGCTCCCATAGCCTTAAAAAAGGCAACTTCATAATGTTTGCTGAAGTACAATAATGTTAGATCAGATGTGGTTCCATCTAACAGGTGAGCAGTCACCTGAAAAAAAAAAGATGTAAGCAATTAAGTAAACAACGCTAGCCTAAGATTAGACATGTCAACATAAAGAACAATGGAATATCGACCAAAAATCCAAGAACTAACAGAATATCGACCAGATATCCAAGAACTTATTTACCTTGGCATTGGGAACGTAAACATTGTTATCCTCCCAATCATCTAATGATACCTTTGTGGCTATAATCTGAGAAGAAGTGACAACAATAGCAGATTGATCACTTTCATCCCACTCAATGATAATACCACTACAGCTATTGATCTCTTTGCCATCTACAAATCAATACAAAGTAAAAAAAAAACTTAATTAATATAACAAAATATGGATTTGCATCTATTAATTAACAAACTAAATGAGAGAGACATTAATACCATGAGAGGAAGAAAGGCGCAGCACAGATTCAGCAACGTCTAGGACTGCATTCTTCTGCTTTAGATTATCCCAATCAGTTATATTTCGAGCATAACTGTATTGCTTAAGAGTGGGCAGTTGTTGTTGACGAGCTATACATATTACAAGAAGCGTGCATCAGAACCGTATATAAACTCAACAAAAAAAAACAATTAAATAGACATGTAGGTGTAAAGGAACGAAAGAAAAATAACTGGTGGATAGGTAGACGCATGCATCAGAACCATATATAAACTCGACAAAAAACACAATTGAATAGACATGTAGGTGTAAAGGAACAAAAGAAAAATAACTGGTGGATTAGGTATAAGGAGAGAAAAAGAAGCGAACAAACCCAATTTCTTGTGGTACTTGTCAAGATCTTTGTGATAGGCATCCACAACCTCTTGATCTGAGTTGTACTCATACACTATTTCCCCGTTGCTAGTTGTTTTTTCCACGAGTAGAGGCTTGGGGCGACGGAGTGGAGAGCTATAGTCAGAGGAATCGGTATCCTTCAAACCTGTGAAGCAAATTCAATTAGGAGTATATATCATGAGTATACTATGTCCAATTCATACAGTATCTCGAAATTTGAATAAATTTATAAATTACTTATTGTTCTGAGCCTACCTTTTAATTTATATACTTAAATGCGAATATACGATAAACAAATACATTGTGGATATCTATAACAAAAAATTCCAAGAAAGTTTATTTGGGTGGCCAGGATGAATTATGTCTTTAACTAGATCAAAAACAGACAAATAGATTTCCGTCCAGGCTAACTGAACAGCAGCACTGTTTTGGTGACTAATCCTAAACCCTATGTGGACAGCAGCATTGTTGTGGTGACCCTATCTGAACAGCAGCACTGTTGTGGTGACTAGTCCTAAACCATATCTGGACAGCAGCGCAGCTTTGGTGACTAGTCCTAAACCCTATCTGGACAGCAGCACTGTTTTGGTGACTAGTCCTAAACCACCAATATGATTGATCATAACGAAACTAGAACCATTTGAAACATATTGATGAAAGCTAACACCTCCTTGTTGACGAAATACTAAACTATCAATCCCAAATCAAAAACAGAAATTCATCAAGATAACAACGCGAATTTGAGAATAATTCGAAAAGGTTCACAAAATCCTAACCTTACCATTATTCCTTTGAGAGAGGGAACAATCAGTGTTCTTCTCCAAAGCTGCAGGTGGGAACCATGATTTGGCAGCCATCCTCCTCCTCTTCGACCCCTCCTCCTCTTCCTCTTCTTCTCAGTTCCCTCTTGCGTGTCAGGCGGTGCAGCGCGTTTTGTTGCGTGGACGGCAGTAGAAGCCGCTTCGTCTCCTGAACTCGTAGGGATGGCGATCCCCGTACCATTCTGATCCATCGTCGTCTGCCGCCGCCTACACCAAGAGATGGGCTATTTGTACTGTCTAATCTAAATTTAGATATTTTGGTAAGAAATAGAGGTCCAACAGTCGTTCTATCTAGCGATCTATAATAGCAAGCGCTCTATCTCGTGCTCCTCGCTAGCTAAAAATAGCACACCGCAGTGGCTTGCCATCCGCCTCCCCGGACCTATTCCCGCGTGGCACCCGTGTCCTCCCACGTGCATGGATCATTTTTCTCGCGAGTTCCTACCGTGCACCCGCGCTCCAATAGCTCGCCACCATGCTACTGGGAAACAAGATGATCTCACTCTGCACTTGACTTCGCGGAATCCAATCTCGCACCCCCATCGCGGCACTTGTGCTGCTGCTGCTGGGAACAAGCTGCTGCCGCCGCCCCCGCCACGAGTGATCTCGCCGGCCCCATCTCGACACTTTGTGCTGCTGCTGCCGCTATTATGGCAAAATTAATGGAGCTCGGTGGGGAAGTGACGAGAAGCGAGAAGTAGAGATGGCAGTCGCTGGTAACTAAAAGGATAATGAGCGATCTAATCCGATGTCGTGTAGTAGTTTTAAAAATAGAGAACCGAAAATTTAGACAGGCTGTTGAGTTACTCTAGTTTTTTTATGGGTATTTTATTTTAGACAATGGCTAAATTATGGATTTTACCATCTAATTATATTGTGAAAAAGTTGTTTTTGGTTGAGACAACTATAAAAACCTACCTATCTGTATTGAAACAGCTACGAACATCTCCGTATAGTCATACATCTGGAAACACCGAAACTAAAATTAGAATCTAATGTACTGCAAAAATTATAGTAACATTTTCTTTTGCATAAATATTCAATAAAAGCCCAACCAACGGCTATACTGACGGGAGTGATGGCCCACGATTATGTCCATCGAAAACGGCATGGAAAGTGGGGATTGTTACACTGTCTGTCCCCGAATAAATCAATTGAATCCGTGTTAGCCAAACTTTTTTAAATTTAATTAATTTTATATTAAAAATAATAATATCTATAAAATAAAATAAACATCTTATAAAAAATATTTTATGATAAATCTAACGATAAAATTCAGTCAAAGTTTAAATAGTTACGTGTTAGCGCACTAGAAGGCGGAGCCCTCCTCCAACCCTGATGTGTCCTACTTGGCAGAGACAGAAGCCAACCCGCGGCCGGCCGTAGTCTATGTAAGTCGGCGGCGCTGCCTCGCGCTCGCCGCCGCCGCACTATCGACCGCTAGCGCCACCGCATCACCCACCCACTGGGAGTCGTCGCGCGATGGAGGCGGCGCGCCGCGCCAATGAGGCCGGCAACAACACCTACTGCAAGTCCTCGGTCGAGGCGGCCGTGGAGCACAACACCCTCGGCGCGCTCCTTGACCCCAGGGACATCACCTTCCTCATCAACCGCGCCGCCGCCTACTTCCGCATTGGCAAGGTCTCTCCCGGTTCGCGTTCCCCCCCTCTCCATTCCCTCTATGATTCTATCCCATACCCTCGCTGCGACCCGCCGGCCGCTAACGCTTTGGGACATGTTCAGTACGAGGAGTGCGCGAGGGACTGCGACGAGGCCGTGAAGCGCGGCAGGGAGCTCAGCTCCGGCAGCGAGCTCATCGCGAAGGCGCTGTTTCAGAAGGCGTTGGCGCTGCTCGAGCTCGCGTGCTGCGCAGCGGATTACACGCCGGCCCGGCGATAAGGGCCCTCAAGCTGTCGCTGGCCGAAAATTACAGCGAGGAGACGCTCGAGAAGCTCAACGAAGCCGAGAGAGTGAGGAAGGAGGTTGAGGAACAGGAGCGATTGGATCAGGAAGCCACCAACCAATACCGCGAGAAAGGTTTGGATCTTGCTCGATTACAGCACTATTGAAATGTGAAATTGGGCAATGTTTCTTTGAGGAAGTCGGGAGGGGAGGCCCCTACGTAATTTAAATTTAAATTAAAATGAAAAGCAAGCTGTACATATGCAAAGCCAAGGCGGCAAAGAACGAAAAAGACAAGGACCACAAGAGAAAGAGAAAAGGAAACAAGAAGAACAAAAAGAAATTAGAAACTAAAGAAAAATAAAATAAAAGAAGACTATCTCTTCTCAATCTGTTGATATCTTATCTCCTTGATTCTTTCTTTGTTCTGCATTCTCTTATATCAATCACAAAGGAAACACACATTTTGGTCAACAATGAAATACTCTTAGAAATTTCCATTTAGTACTTTTGTGTGTATATAGTATGGGGATTTCCATGCGAAAGAAGGCAGAGCACAAAAGAAAGAAAGGGACGAGTAGATACTTCTCCTAGTAATCTGTGTTTTTTAAGCATCATGTATCCAATTCCTAAGTACTAGTTGTATGCCATACAATGATGCAATTGGCCCTTACTATGAAATGCTGCAGGCAATGAATTTTTCAGGCAGAAGAAATACCATGAAGCAGCAATACACTACACGCGAGCTACGAAAATGAACCCAAAGGATCCAAGAGTAAGCATATTCATTGGTCCCCTGATTTTCCTTCTCAAGTAAAGGCAACTCCAGATCCTTAGTAAAGTAGTACTATCTTCAGTCAAATATAGATGAAGTTTCAGGCAAGAAAACAAGAAGAAAATAAGCTAACTCCCCCATGTCTGAATGTCAAGTAAATATGACCGGTGGTGGTACCTCTTTTGAAATTTGTAAAATTTTTGGTAAATTAAAATCTTGCATTGGTAAAACGTCATCTATGATCGGTCATATCTGGCATGCATTGTTCGCTGTAAAGACATGCTCTGGAACTGACCCATTTGTTCTTTGGCACTCCTGGTTGTAGCAATTCATTTAATTTATGATTGATCTTACAGGCATTTAGCAACAGAGCTCTATGCCACATCCATCTGGGAGCCTTTCCTCAAGGTCTTGAGGATGCAGAGAAATGTATTGAACTAGATCCAAATTTTCTAAAGGGCTATGTGCGTAAAGCTAAAGTCCAGTTCCTGATGGAAAGTTATGAAAATGCTTTGGCAACTTACCTAGAGGGCTTGAAGTGTGACCCAAATAATCTGGAGGTTCTTGATGGCTTAAGAAGGTAGCTTTCCAGTTCTCATCTAGTCTTCTTGAGTCATGGCGTGATTTAAATTGACATTGTATTTGATTGAATTAGATGTGCAGCATGCGTTAAGGGGTCTAATGCAGGTGATGTTGTGCTTGAGGATTTGAAATATGTTGACATTGAGGAACTGAAAGATTTCATGGTATGTCTAATAATAAAACCAATACTAAAAAGAAAATTCAGGATTACCATTTGAAAGATTTCATGCGTTTGTAGTCATCTCTCACACACTGTCACTGCTACAGTAACATTTATTCTTGGCATTTGAGTTGGTGTTTTGCATGCATACAGCAACGGAGGCAGGGGGGGGGGGCTCTAGCCCCCACCGATCCTGGGCACGTGGAGCCCTCCTAAGCCATCACTTAAAATTTTATGCATATATGTATTATGTAGGAGGGGCTAAGGTTAAGAGAAGATAAAAAAATCCTCTATTCTTTTGTTCAGCATCTCCTAAATTTTTTTCTGGCTTCGTCCCTACATGCATAAACAATATTTCTTTTATTTCCGAAGGAACACATTCTATATGAAGTAGAGCAAGAGAACTAAAATTGATGAAAAGCGAGCCGAATGGCCATCGAAACTTCGTAAGTCAATCAACCCCTATCCTGCATGCTATGCCATCATGAACAATCGCCCATTCAGCCTGACTCAAGGTCTTGGGTCTATATCTCCGTTGTTTATCTTCTCCAGTCGTACCACGCCTTTCCCTTTTCTCTTCCATCACCTCTGGCAGCCAGCTGAACAAGTGACCTCAGTCTCACCGTCGGTGCTGGCTGATGCAGGTTTGAATCTACATCGGTATTAACAAAATACTGCCATTAACATACATACATACAGTGTTCTCCGTATCCTTCCCCTTTTTGTGTCCATATACTGTGCATGTGCTTGTTCAGACTGCCGGCTGCAGCGGCTGATGGTCTTAATTTCATGTGTTGCAATTTAATTTAGTAAAACATTAAATCCTTGACAGCATATTCATAAATCCACAATCTAGATTAATATTTAATTCTAATCAAAATTCTACCTTTTCAAGATTAAAGGTTATGATTTTTTTTTAAAGTCGAATCCATGCGCAAGGTCATCCTCTGACACATCATGTAGGTCGCCTTATGCGTGCACGACTTAATTTAGGGACTTATGGGCCAAGTCGTTGGCAGGAGCAGCTTGCCCCCAGGGATTCTGAGATGGATTTTGTCCTTGAAGGCCAAGGTGAAACTGATCCTCCTGCAACTCAAAATCAGCTTGGACAGATTGCTTCCTCTCAGCTGGACAAGAATCCGCGGTGAATATGCTGTGAGGGCGCGAGACAGCGGTGAGATTGCGTGTCTCCGTTGCATGGCATATTGGCATGGCAATGCATCGCGCCGGCCCATCCTTGTTTTTTATTCGAATGCTCCTTCGTTGAACGACGATTTGGCAGTGGCCAATGGCTTGCTGAGTGAGGTTAATTTTACTTTTACAGCGCCCTAGTTCTCTCAGACGGATGCCACGTGCAGATGAGGTAGCAATTGCAAACACTGGCTAACCACCACGCAACACCACCATCCGATATAGACGAAGCTGAGCCCCCAAACATTGTTGTATTTTGTCTATCTACAAGAGTTTAAGTCCCAACTCCCAAGTGCCCAGCATACCTAGCGAATGATGTCAATGAGAAGGCTCGCTGATGCTGGTAAGTAAGAGTCCTCAGGAGTCAGGACTCCAGAAACAACACGTGGCTAAAAGGTAAGATAGGGATGACCACGATGGCGCTGA